TAGTTTCAAGTAGCAAAGTAACCGATTGACTTTTAATGAAAAAATGAAAACTCGCATCTTTGTTCTTTCTTTCCGGTTTATACTTATATTTGGTGAAATCTTTAGGTTTCAACGTTCCAGTATTTCAGAATTGTGAAATGGCAACTTTGCTATTTTTTCGATCAAAGTAATCTTACTCATTTTTGTGTGTCACCCGATAGTCAGTCTGCTCGCTTTTAGCCACTGGTGCATTCTCTCTCGCAACACTGACGTAACTAGTACATATGGTTGTGAAGTCGCTCGCAACATTTTTCTTCCCTTGGGAGGAAAAAAGGAAAAGAGCTGCTCGAGTTTGCTATATTTACCTTTCAATTGTTGCAATACTTAATTTACAATCATACTTATTTTTATTTGAAGTTAAACTACCTGATTTCAAAACTGGTGAGTATGCTTTTATCCCAATTTAATTCCAATTTGTGATGTTACAATACCTAACAGAATTTTCACGAAATATAAAATTTGCTCACAGTTAAAAAACTCGATGTTTCTCGAGTATAGTTGTAACGAGATAATTAAATGATACTTCATGCACCAGTTTACATATATATTTTCGGAATTTCAAAACTTTAACCCTGTTAAAATAATTTCGCGTAAAATTCAAAAATTAAAAATTTAATTTTACTATCCGTTCGGCTATTCTTTTCAATATTTCAATCGCTTATAATACAAATATTGCATTATTTCTGAAAAAGAAAATAAATTTCAAGATCTCTAAAAATGGATTATAAAAAGAATAATACTCGACAAAAAAATGCGACATCTTGTGTGTAGTCTATAGTCGAAAGATAGAAATAATAAAAGCAGCTTTTTACATATATTGGATGTTTTTTAAAATTATTTTCTGATTATAAATTATTTTTTAAGAGTATTTCCATTTGACTTTACCTGAATATTTGTTAGGAAATCGAAGAACAACCGTAACGGAGATGTTACACGTTTGAAAATAGCCCCAGGTCCAAGACTGATTATTATTCGCACCATTCTAGTAATTTCTGGACGTTCCGCTGCCATTATATAAGAAGCAGTCGAGCCTAATGAATGGCCGATATATGCGTGCAATGGTCGCGAAGTCATTTTTGTAATATATAAAATCATCGCGGGTACATCGTAAATGCCCAATTCGTGAAAGCTAATACAAAATTTAATCTGTATATGTGTATATATATATATATATATATGTATATATGTGTGTGTATATATATAATATGTGTGTGTGTGTGTGTGTGTGTGTGTGTGTGTTTGTGTGTACATATATGTATATATAAAATATTATTACAGGGTACAACAAAATATTCTATTTTACAAAAGTGAATTACTTGATTTTTTTGTCAAATTAAACAATATGTTATTATGGTAATGTTACATTCAACACTAATTATTTTTACTTTATGAACATGTATACCTAAAATTCCAAAATTTTGAATTCGATGGAGATAATGAAACATGTGCTCTCGAATGAGTATTTCCACGAAAATTGCCCAACCAAACATCATACCCGTGATTGGCCAGTATGAAAGCTAGTATAAAAAAATATTATTTACAATAAATTTCTTATACATGTGTATAAATACAAGTATTAAATAATAATTAAAATGCTCTAAAAATTACATATGTAGTTAAGAGTTACATTAAAAAAAAATATATTTTGGAACTTGATAATTGTCAAATAGAAACCTAATCTTTTAGAAAGGGAAATATTCTTAGGTGTTGAATATGTCATACCAAGTCCTTTATCCTTGCCAAGAATAAGAAAATCGGCGCTGCTAGTCAAAAGAGAATGTTGGAGTAGCACGGGTGCACCATTTTGACGTGGAATACGATGAAGTGTTAAAAGATAACCATCCTCCGTTTGTACTATGTGAGTTTCCACGGGATAACCTGCTTTTCTTATCATCTGTAACTGAAAAAATAAAAGCACGTGAAAAAAAATGTTATTGCTATTACTTTTGAAGAAAAATCATTAATGATATACGGAAGGAGCACTTTTAATCGACAATTAAACCAATTTTGTACAATATGATTGGGAACAGGATATCGATTATTTAACGTAATTGCTCATTCTTAACCAATCTGTCGCCCTATTATCGTAAAGTGACGTCACAGCCACATAACATTATATTAACTAACGTCGAAAATACGTCATTATTTTCGTATGATTAATGGCGTAAATGAATGATGATATTAAGTGATCACTAATAACGTTACGTAATTGATTACTAATAATGTACCAATACGTCGTCGATTAGTCATTTATTCGACGTCAATAAATATGACATTGTTGTTGAATAAGACATCATTAAATTGTAAAAATTGATTGTCATTATTATTTCTTAAATATATCACGTCAATGATTCAAACTGACTAACTGTCGGCGTCAAAATGACTACTGAGATATGTATACATATATATGTATGTTTATATATATGTATCTTTTCTTAAATAGCTGGGAGATTTTAGCGTTTCTACATAATATGAAACATTATATGTATATTGAAAAAATTTCTGATTGAAATCGGAAACAGAATTTTTGGTTAAATTTATTGGAATTCTAACTAAGATAACTGGAATTCTGGTTGATACAATATTTTTGGTAGAATCTAGTAAAATTCTTATTTTTATCAGAATAATTGTTGGTGCATTTTCCAGCAAGAGACAGTGTAATAATGATCACTTCATCTTTTTTTAACATAGGGAAACAACAAAGATATTATGATTCATTGTATTAGGTTAGTATTATTTGTCATACGACAAGGAGTTTAAGTTTATTGATTGTTTATAAGATAGAGAGATCCCGATTTCTTTTTCTTGCAGCCATTCAATAAGCTTGAAATGCTTTGTCACAAATGTAGTATCAATCTCAGGCCGACAAATTTTTGATATTTATTGTTTGGCTGTAGGATAGAGATTTCCGAGGATTTCTCTGTCCTGCACACATTATCATACAACGAAAATGCACAAATGAACTAACACTATGTCGTCTGTGTCTATTGTTAGAAAGCATCCTATAACAATCATATACTTACTATGAGATTGCCTTGAAGAGAAATGTACCTAGTGTTTGATTGTTCTTTGTCCGTTTGCACTTTTTTAAATACATTCTGCGGAACATCAAGTATCCCAACTGTTGTATAGTCGAGAAAGCCACAAAAAAATAAAAGATGCACAAACATTTGCATTACAGAATTAGACGAATGGTCAATGTCAATAAAAAAATAGTTGACAGGATATCAAAGGATTGTACTAAAAATAGAAAACAGAATACAGCATAATTAGCTGAGCTCTTCTTTAATTTTTTCTTTATGGAATACTAAATGTAATATGGAGAATCGTGCGTTGATAATTTTTCATTTTTTTATGCAAAAAAAAGGAACGTTAATCATATTATGTTATTAGCTGCACGATGATAAAAAAGTTATAAAAGATACGCGATTATGCTGTGCGTATACAGGGTATTTCATTATTTTAATTGGCAACTTGAAAAACAAGTTAAGAAAAAAAATGTTTCAAGCAAAAGTTGTATAGTTTAAAGGAGGACAAATAATAGCAAAATCAGTTTTTAAAAAATCAATGGTAAATGTTCAGAAGTGGTGCTCTCCCAATAACCGGGGGTTTTTTTCAGTGAACAAAACTAGTTACGAAAAGACATGTATACCATGTTTTAAGAGAAGGCTTATGGTTTTTATGTGGGTTTTATGGTGGGAAAAAATGCTTTTAAAAACGAATAAGACAATTTTATTTTTTACCGAAATGTTGATTGTAAAGTTTTTTTAGTCTTTCATTACATTATCATTTATATTAGTCGTGAGATCGGAGTAAAACGTTCACAGAAGTGAAAAAAAATTGACACTCCACTTTCTCCCCCATTAAGGAGCGATTTTCCACACAAAATGAGATTCCACTCCATCAACTTTTTCTTAAATAGACAAAGAGGTGGAGTGGAATACGCTAAATAGTGTGTGTGTGTGTGTGTATGTGTGTGTGTGTGTGTGTGTGTGTGTGTGTGTGTGTGTGTGTGTGTGTGTGTGTAGATGCACTTGTACTTTTATTCATCTACACAAACTATTCCAAAAGACTATGAGCAAAGTTATTTTCATGATCGTAGATTTATTAAAAAGATTTCCCACGAATGTTCAATTTTCTTATCTTTATCTCTTTCTTATCTTTACTCTTATCTTTATTATTAGGGACATAATATTATTTGATTGATCTCAAATCTTTTTCATGATCGTAAATAGTATGCGAAATGAAGTGCGTAATTGCTTCAAACGAAATTTCGTTGATTGAATTTAAGCAACAATGTTGCCCTGCATAAATTTAATATATTAGATAACAGATTATAAAACCTTTTCCTTTGAAAAAATATTATGAGTTATAATACGTTATCTTACTGCTGGGCGGTTTTATAATGAAGAGCTCACATTCAATGTTAGGCAAATGAAAATTTATTACTATAAAATTTGAATAATATATGAACATTCAATGAAGTTTGTGACACTGAATACAAAAATATTGAATACAAATCTTCTTTTGCGTTTAACAGACAGATTAAGTATAGTGTTTTCGCTAAAATCGCACAAATAACTGAATCAACTCAACTTTGTCTGATCATTATATCATCGATGAGAAAGTAGAAGAGACTAGAAATGAAAGTAACATTTTATGAAAATTTATTAGGTTGCATTACTAGCTCCAACATGTTCAAACATACTTCTGTTATAACTCGTACTTATTTCAACGAACACGTTGGAAGAAGTTACCCAGACAACAAAATGTGCTTAAAATCGGGTCAAAACGTTTTCTGCATGTAAAAGATTTAAAGATGTTTTATGTCACAATTTTAGATGCCTAGAAACTTGATTTAGGTTATTTTTATGAATTTTTTTCTGAAAAATTCATAAGATCTCTTCAAATCACAGATGTTCCTTACCTATTAGTACATATAATATTTCAAGTATCTTTTAGAATGTTTTTCCATTGTAATTTTCCAATAAATAAGCCTTATATAACATTACTTTAAATACGAAGTGTCACTATGATCTGAATGTTGAACTGCTATATACATTCATTTTAAATGAGTTAATTATCAGAAATTGCATTGATAATTGCGTTGTCAGACTTTCAACGCAATCAATCTAAAGTTTATTACAGTTTTTTAATATTAAATTTAGGACATTTAGGGGGAATTATTAATATTTCAGATTGATTTCGTTGAAAGTTTGACAACCATATCGGCACGCGATTATCATTTCTGAAATTAATCATTTAAAACGAATATATATAACAGTTCAACATTCAGATCGTATTGGTACTTCATATTTAAAGTAATGTATTTAATATCAATCTTATTTCCAATCTTATTCCTTATATAACAATTTATGTAACATCATGAAAAAAGTAAGGCGCTACATGGTGACTGTTCTGCTCTGATACGAAAAACCAAACAGATTCTTAAAGTTACGAGTTTGGCTATCCTTTGATCTATAATAAAAAAAATATTAAAAAGAAAAAAAATGGCGTCATTTTGAAAATTATTTTCTGATTTTTTTCATTTTTCTTCTTTAAAGTGCTGTGAAATAAATAAAAATAAACATTTTGACTTTATTGTAGTTTAGA